AAAATTGGGGCTATTATGAGGCCAAATGTCTAGTTGAAATATTGGACAATGAAGAAATACAATGGCAATTATCGGCAATGGTAGAAAGCAGAATATTTGGGAGAACATTGTTGCAAAACTTAATGAAGTGTAAAAAATTTATGTGAGTACCATGAAACAGCATGAATTATACAACCATGCATGAAACGTGTTTGAAACCGACATCTGAAATGACCAATGCAATAACAAACATGTTTAGGTGAAACAAGTTTACTCTAATCATGTTTCGGCTTTAATGTGAACACAGCTTAAGATGATCACTTTGTTTGAGGAGAAACTACACATGAGCACAAGTTTCCAAGTTACTACGTTTGTTACCTTTTCTTTTTTGAGAATAATACTCAAGATCTCTTTTCGCTGATCTGGGCCCTGATGAAGAGACTTAAAATTCAATCTCCAAATTTTGACTGTAGTGATTATGAAGCCTACTACAATGGAATCTAAGTGTTATGATAGAGTTGCCAGTGGTCAAAGGAAAGTCCAGGTAACTCCACTTTATGCCCAGGATTGAACGCAAGTATTGTTTAATAAGTACTTCATATTTGGCAGGGTTATTTGACATTTTCATATCGCTTCGTATTTGACAGAATTGTGTGTGTTTTGCTGACTTTTTACTATTGAGGACACTTTGTGATGCTTATCATAAGGAATTTGAATCTCATTGGTGTTCAATCCTAGACATATCTGGGTAACTCATAACAATAGCTGATTTTTCTTGCACTGTCTTCTTTATCACCATTAACATCACATGTTCCAAACCAAAACACTGTAAGTTGTAGAATTTTGTTACATATTTGTAAATTAAGACAGTATCTATCCTAAGCTGGGCTGTCATTCTGGGCCATAACCCATAACACTTGTAAAGGCTGAGTGTGTTTGATGGGTCCTTGATGTTGCAGGGATCAATATCACTGGGTGTTCCAGGAGAAAAGGCTGACAAAAATACTTAATAAACACTCTCAATTTTGTCATTGACATAACTAATCACTTGGTTGTAAGAGCTTGTGTCCTAAGATATAAGAACTACAACCACACTCAGTGTGATTACCAGTCTGGTAATTTCAAATCACAAAAAAACAATTTTTAAAATAAATCACCCAATAACAGCGTACTTACTAACCTCAATCATTCTTATTTTCACTACTTACTGGTAATCCAACATGAAACGTACATGGCATTCTTCTACAGATGGCTCTATCAACATCTTGAGGCCGGTTAGTTGCACCCATAACAACAACCTGACAGGAAGCATCAGTCATCAGCCCTGTAAAACAATCAACAGTCATCAAAACATCATCAACACAATGTCCATACAGTCTCAGAGGAAATTTTTATCTCTTGTAGTATTTGTGCGCAAGGAATCGACACAGCTCAATCACTAGCCATTCAGGAGTTTTCAAGGGAGGGTGGGGTGAGCTGATATGTCGGGGTTGCAGAATCAGTGGGGCATGTCCCCACAGTGTGGCAATTTGAGAATTGGAACCTAGACGAAAACTGTTACACTAGAAATACTAGCAATGTAGTTACACTGGGGTACCTGTCCAGAGTGTTTGCCTTTATTTCTGCCATAATCTTCACAATCTTTTACAATTTTTTTTGTTTTAAAGGGTGTTGGCTTGCCACCCAATCCACCCCATCAAATCTGTTCCTGCAATCATTAAATACCTACATGTAGCAAAATTGTGCCATCAAACTTGGCATGTGTAAGTGTGCATCATAATCCAATGCGAAACACTCATGGAGAGAGTAAAGCTAACTTAGCTACATCATTTCCTTTTGCAATGTTGTAAACAATTTATTGAATCATACTTTTAGCTGTGTATCATTGAGTCATGATGCACCTGGGAAGTTTTGAGAGAAACTGAAGTGAAAGAGTTCCATTATGGTACAGATGATAGCCTAATGATCAGTGGATAGACTCTGAATTTCATAAATATTTTTTGTTAGTCATCTTTCATATACTGCACAACAAGCAATGTGCACAAAGTAAGGAGCAGTTTTTTCTGTAACAATCTGCTTACCATCCCAAAGACTCATAAACTGTGCCTTCATCATTGCTGTGGCTTCGTGATCAGCCTTGTCACGTATTCTAAGAAAAGAGTCTAAAAAACAAAAAAACAAAAATAGCTTGCAAGTTGACCAAGAGGACAATACATGATAATACCTGTGGGTTACCTTCTACAAGATCAGGAAGTTGTGTAAATGCACATACATACACTGCACATGTAGTGTCTAATGTACTGCTTGAATGCATATATATAGCATGCAGTGAAGGTCATGTTTCTCTAGCTCTTAGAGATAGTTCTTAGAGACTGTATAAAACTATAAATTATTTGACATTTAAATACAATATTTGTTAATATATGGGAAAAAGTCCCATTGCTAATTCTTTGATCCTGAAATTTTGAAATGAGCTTGATAAATATGATAATAGAAACAGTAGCCTCCATTCAGCGTGAAATATGCTCAGATATTTCTCCGCGGACATTATCAGTTCCGAGAAGCAAGCAGCTTTCTGAGAGCATAGCTAGACGAAAACTGTGAGCATTGAGGAACAGATGATGTGCAAGGACAAATATCCAAGCTTATAATCCATCAAATATTTTCGCTCATGCCTGCTAGGTCTAAACACGTCACATAACCNCGGACAAACAAATCGTCGACCACTACGTATATGGCTACCATTACACAAGAGGTCTTGGGAAGTTTCTCAATGATGTGACTAATATTAAGTTCTAAAGTGTAAGCCATATTAAGTCTAAACCCTGTTAAATTCATTCTTGGGTAGAGGTTTCATTCGCAAATAAATCTTCAATAGATTTTATCACTGACGGTGGGAAGATTTTGGTCACGTGCTAAGCAACCTGTGAATCAAGAGTGTTTACAGACTGCGAAATTTACAGTATTTCCCAAGACCATCAACAAAATCTACGATATATATTCATTGGGTTGCAAGGAAGGCCTCACCAAAGTTATGAAAATTGTGAAAATCACGAAATTTACAAAAACTGTGAAATTTACTATATTTCGCAAGACCATGGACAAAATGTACGATATTTATTCATTGGGTTGCAAGGAAGGCCTCACCAAAGTTACGGAAGTTGCAAAACTCCATTTATGTCCAGGATTGAACGCAGTGACAAATTTTACAAATCTTACGATATTTTGTTTGAGTTTCAAATTCAACAAATTTTGTGATTTTTCGTTCAACTCTACAAGATTTACAAAAATTCGCTGCCTCAACGATTTTTCAGCACATGGCGAAATTTACAATTTTATGCTAATCCACCAGCAAGCGCCAGCTTGCGGATTTTACAAAATTGACAAAATTTGCGATTTTTTGCTAACTTTGCGATTTTCGTTAAGTCATTGCCAAATTCGCATTTTTTTTGTACTTCTTTGTAATGCAAATTCCACATACCAGTGCTGGCTTGTGGATTTTACAAAATTTGCAATTTTTTGCAATTAACATGACACAAAAAGACTGCCAAAGATGTCAAACATGTTTCTGTTCTCTCTGGGACGAAAAATATGCCATTACCGCATACATGTAACACATTACAAAGATAACAAGCTGTATGTTGCTCTCATAGATTTTGTCGATGGTCTTGAGAATTATTTCAAATTTTGCAGTTTTTGTAACTGTGTTCAATACTGGACATTACTCATGTCCCGGAGTCCCAGACCCATGGTGTGGTAGTGGTGCAAAATGAATGAGCTTATTTGAAATGGCTGTCCGGAATGGCCCGTATGGCAAAGGTTTAAAAAACAACATATTTACTGGGAAGTAGCTTCCAAGTGTAACCCAGATTTTAAAACAAGCACAGGACTATGCATGCATGACAAAAGCGTGACTTTTTCACCCATCACTAATGTTTGAAACATTATGCAAATTCAAGGCATCACAACAACATGATTGTTATCTTACTTGGTCAAGCTCAGTGCATGCTGTCTTAAAAGATTCCATTCAATGCGATTCTCTTCGAAATAAAAGGAATGCACAAGGCAAACTTATGAGATTTTGGTTCAGAAAATGCGAGAATCTCCAGTTCTAAGACTGATAAATTCAGTTTTTCACAAACTGGCCTGTATTTGCAGACTTCGCAGGCTACAAAGTTGGCAAAGAAATTGTTGACTTAGTGATCGTGATCACAGTTTACTAGCAACATGTAGATTGGGTGGCCAAACTCTACATGTTATTTCATGAACACTACATTTTGACTAACAACTGTACTAATCACATTTAGGAGGTGGTTTGGTGATAGAGAATAGAAATCTTACACTGTGTTATTTGAGTTTAACCCTAACCCTTTATATAAAGTGCCTTTTAGTGATAAGAAACCCTCTCTGAGGTTGTTGTTTTGTTAGAAGCTAGCAACCTGCTATTGCAAAAGTATTTGTTTAGGCTTTGAACAGACACTGAACTCATTACCAGTGTTTGACACCTCACTGGAATGTGAGCAAAAATATTTTATGAATTATAATGTGCCATATTGTCTGTGGTAAATTTTACTTTAAGACTTAGTCTTCTTTTACTTGGGAACTGAAAAATACCAAGAAAGCAATTTTAAATGCCAACTTCATTTGTGGGTCATAATGATAATTATTATTTTGTTTACAAGTAATCCTTTTACTCACAATTCTTACCCAGTTGACTAACTTTACTGATTTAGTTATACTGAGCCTTTCCCCATCCCAGAGCTTACTTGGAACCGAACTGACTAACCCTGTGTAAGCTAGTATATGCAAGTTACATGACGTACTAAAACAACTACAAACTGATTATCTACTGTAGGTCAAATCACTCACCTATCTCATCAATAAATATGATACATGGTTGAAGTTTTCTGGCCTGAATAATAAAGTAAAGAAAAAAAACTCATTACTAAGAGTCTCAAAGGAACAATCATTTTGTAATAATTGCATACACAAATCTTTCACCATGGGTCATTACTTTGGTGCCCTGGTGAGATTTGTGTGGCTCAGTGACCTTGTGAACTACGCCGGGTGGGACTTCGGTCTGTGGTACTGTAGGTTCAACCTTTCTGGTTTGGTCAAAGGGTAGAGTCCAGACTAAGAATGACCCTCTCATTCCTCCAGTAGTAGGTTGGGCATGGGACCAATCACCCCCTCTTGTAAAACTAACAGATTACAGAAACCTTAATTTCTCGACTCAATTAGTGTTATTTCAGGAGTTGTATAACGACTTGCCAAACTTCAGAAGATGAAGCACATACTCTAATTAAGTCACTTGCTAACCCCAAGAAGACGCTCTGCATAGGAAACTGGACTGTCAGGACAATGTGCAGTGTGGGACAGACTGCACATGTGGTTAAAGAGATGAGAAAATATAGCTTGGACATGTTGGCCATTAGTAAATGCAGATGGTATGGTTCCAGATGGCTTAAGAAAAAGGCCGTTTTTCCTTTGTAGGAAAAAGGACCTGATGATGATGGTGACATTTACAAATCAGATATAGTTATCCTCACCAGTGAAAACACTGCTGCAGCAAGCTTTTGGGATTCACCATACCATTTGTCAGTTAAAGATGAAACTTGAAGGTTAATGAAACGGCAACCTAAAGAACACAAAACACACCAATAATGTAACCCTGATGTGAACATAATGTACATGTTCAGGTGCAAATATTTTTATGTATTTGTCTTCATTCATTTTGTGTAATAAGCAAGTTATAAAGACATAGAGTAGATCATTGGGATTTTTTTGACACATTACAAGGTCACTTTTTGACACTCTCTACACTCAGTTCTTGTTTGTTTTGTTCATTTATCTGCTTTGTGGATGTAGTTTCAATGTAAGTATATTTTTTTACATAACAGTCCTAAGAAAATACGCACGCTGATTGGTTGAAAATCGTGTTTCTATAACTCGATGGAAACACAGAACTGGCACAAGCTGTTGACACAATGATGGCACGAGTAAAGAGAATTTACACTTTGATAATTAAAGTTAACAAGCTGTTTTCCTTTTTTTCGTCGCAGTGTTTTCTAAAAGAAATAGAAAACATGTTCTCCGTGTTTCTATCAAGTTATAGAAACACTCTTAAAAGTTTGGGAGAACTCGAAAAAGCTGTGGAAACACTCCCCTGCGACTCGTGTTCCCACAACATTTCTCATTCTCCCAAACTTCCACTTGTGTTTCTATAGCTCAATAGAAACATGGTACATGTTTTCTATTTCTTAAATAATTCACCAGTTTTAGACACTGTGAATACAGACTGTACTGGAGAATTTCTTACTGCTTTCTGCTTCATGTTTAATTTGTTTAATTTTTGTTTACAAAAACATTGTAGGTCAAGATTGATTGAAGCATACAGTCTGACATGTATATTGAGATCATGTTAACAACACAACAATCATCAGTATGATTACATGTACCGGTAATTGCCAATGTTACCCACAATTACAGAATTTAAAATATTAAAAGAAACCACACAAAATGATCCCACCTGCTTCTTTTGCTGTGGCCTTAGCAATCATTGTTTTTCCACACCCTGGAGGACCATATAATAAAACTCCTATAGAAAAAGAATTAAATTGCCATCAACATTTACAGTGTCACTTCCAAACTTTTCTGACCACTACTGAACGAGCAGAGTTCATAGTAATCTTGGGTTAAACAGAGTCAACTGACACTACTAAATGTAAGGTTACTAGGATATGCCTGCAACAGAACTTCAAATGCTCAACATACTTGCTGCAATATGCAGGGTCATCATGCAATGCTAAACACACTAAAAATGGCTGCAAATGAGGCTACTCCTAGTACATGTAATGTTCATGAAATAGATTATGTCCCTCTAACCTTTAGGAGGACTAAGAAGGGATGAGTTTTTGAAAATATCCTTTTGCTGTATTGGTAAAATTACTGTCTCCTACGAAAAAAAATAAACAAATAGCCAATAGTCAATATTCAATTGTCAAATATTAATTACATGCATGCTACGGTTAGGTATCACAAACTCAAACCACCTGAACCCATCAAGACGTACAAATCCACTGTAGGAAAAAAGATGGCTGCTGTACATTTTACCACAAGACCTTGTGAACCTAACATAGCCTACAAGGCACAAAGAAAGCCAAATTTTTACAGTATTTGTCCCTGTACTAAGGACATTGTGTTGCCTAGGTTTGAAGATTTTCTAACTCTTCTGTACGTTTTTACGAATGTTGTTAAGGTTTTGTGTGCTAAGAACGATGGGTAAAGTACCAGTCATCTTTTTTCATACGGAGGATTGCTGTTCTATGACTAGGACAACAATTCCAAACTATCAGCAACACTAGCAGAGAAGGTACAGGACTATACAATATAGTGAGTTTAAACATACCTTTTTAATTTTGTTTTCAACTTTGCATCTGGGTATTTTTAGGTTCATCCTTACCTTAATTTCATCAATTACTTCTCTGAGTCCTCCGATGTCCTTCCAGCTGATTGGCAAAGTTAAAGGATCTACTATGTCTGTTGCAACAGTCAGTTCATATTCACTTAACTGCAACACAAAAAATATGGCTACTGAGGAACATAGCCAAATTTTGCTGTGAAAATTACCCATTGAGATTGGCTGAAAGAGGTACAATTTATTATTAACTGCATTATGTGGCACGTGTATGTTCGACATTTCATCATGTGTCTGATGTTTGCAAGTGACTACTTGTAAGTTACCACATGGGCTTGGTACTTGTGGTAGTTGCTTGTGGGAGGTTCAATTATACTTTACGCATGATGTCGGTTAGCATCTGTCAAGTTGAACAAGTCCCATGGAATTTGCATGCGATAAGTTGCAACATTATAAACATTCCATTGCATGGAATGTGTTCATTGTATTAATTAATCATTAATTGTATTAATTAACTATTAGTAATCAATAAATTTTACACTCTAGGGTTGTCATTGATTCACCTGTAGCCTTGATCCTCACACCAGTCCCATAACAAATTTGTTACGTTACGGGTGAATTGTATCAAGCAAAGGCAAGTTCACCTGTACTTGTAATAACAAGGACCCATCAAGCATGCTCAGCCACAGGTGCCACAGGTAACAGACCTTATTGACAGTCCTAGAGACTTCTAGGATTAAAGTACTAGTCCATTCAATCATCTTTTAGTGATACAGGTTATTTTACCTTAACTCCTTCAATACCAATTTTCTTTAGCAGCTTCTGAGCCTATATAGCATACAAATGAATAAGGTAAGAACTTAATTAAGGGACACCTTATGTTTGATTTGTTTTTTATCTGTCCCCAATTACAGTCGAACCTTCCATAAGCGACCACCCAAAATGTCAAGCCTAGGTGGTCACCTATGGGAGGTGGTCGCTTACAAAAGCTTCGACAATAATGGGTCAAAATTTTTCCTCTTTTGAATGTGGTAACTGCCGAGACTTAACCCATGCTACAATGCTGATGCAATGTTTTATTCATGTAAAAGTCAATTTCGAGAATAAAATTCTGTTTCTCCCATTGAAAAATTTCTGTTTCTCGCACTAGCCAGAAATATAATGTTACAACACCTTATCTATTTTTCGCTCCATTATCTGTCAAGTGGTCACTTACAGGAGATAAAAGACAAAGACAAATTTCAAACTTATAACTCTCAAAGTGGTCGCAGTCGCTTATGAGAAGTGGTCGCTTACAAGAGGTTCCACATATAGTGATTTGACTTGGAAACTTTTAGTATTTTTGAAAACTGGTCACCAAGGAGAGGTGGTCGCTTACGAGAGATGGCCGCAACCGGAGGTTCAACTGTAGTGCTTAAAAATATAACAGTGGTAGTCAATTAGTGCTGTTGGCGCTAAAACAACCAGACACTTGAAGTAAAGAATATGTAGGTATAGAAACCAGTTCCTGGTCACATTGGCTGTGGCCGCACTATTAAAGAGAATTCACTAGGTTTATTTTTCAGAAACCTGGTTGAAATTAATAAACAACTTAACTTGGTTAAAGGTTGGNAAAATCTCGCCGGTCATATTTTAATTTTACAACTTTAAGGGAAACTTAACGTATACGTACCGTTACATAATCTTATCTCAAACTTTGTGGCTTTTTTGTTGTTTCTGGGACGGCATTGTCCATAATTTCCTGTATTTCCTGTGTAGATAGCTCACCGAATGTGCTTTTTTTCATCCATTTTTTTTGTCGATGAAACTTCGCTTCACGTGAAAAAGCTCATGCCGAGCGACATTTGCCGCTTTCATTTCCATATAAGGTCAAATGCAGGTATAGTGGCTGGTAACTGAGATCCAGTGAACCAATCAGAAAGCTAGAATTGCATTATCCGAGGCTGAGAATTTAATAAAATGAAATAACAGGGTTATATTTCATGAGCGGCTGGAGTGAAATAGGTTTTGAAGTGGGTTAAATCATTTGACGTAATGAGCTAATCCAGCAAATGGCAGACTTCGAGGACCATGTTCTTATATTCTCAATTCTTTTTCTTTGTTTTCATTTCCTTTCTCTCCACTGACGGCTAAGGCAGTTCCTCTTTATAAAGCTTTCTGCTCAGGCCATGTTTCCAGCCTGAAATTTCCTTGCCAAGTTGACTGATTTAAGAAAGGTGACACGTATTGAGAAGAACACTGGTAACCCACTTGAGTAATATAACTGTTGCTAGAATTGTTATAAATGTTGTTACCAGACACCATATTCAGATGCTTATGCATGTGTATTTACCGTGGCCAACAATATTTCACATGCAGACTGCTATGATTAACACATTTCACAAAAAAGCGAATGCATAGCGCTGATCAGACTGCTGATAAGAGACCACTAACCTGGGTTAAACCACGCAGAAAGGTAGTTAAAAACTAACCTAACCAATTAATTTCCATGGTAATCGTTAACCAAGGTTTAGTTCAAGAAACAGCCAAAATTAGTGGCCGCATCACGATGTTTCAATAACCCAGTTAACCGTAATTGATTAATTAGAATTAGAAAACACTCCTAAGAAAATATGCACGCTGATTGGTTGAAAATCATGTTTCTATAACTCGATGGAAACACAGAACTAGCACAAGCTGTTGACATAATGATGGTGCGAGCAAAGAGAATTTACACTTTGATAATCAAAGTCAACAAGCTGTTTTCCTTTTTTTCATCACGGTGTTTTCTAAAAGAAATAGAAAACATGTTCTCTGTGTTTCTGTTGAGTTATAGAAACACTCGTGAAAGTTTGGGAGAACTCAAAAAAGCTGTGGAAACAATTGCCTGCGGCTCGTGTTCCCACAGCATTTCTTGTTTTCCCAAACTTCCACTCGTGTTTCTATTAAGCAATTAGACTATGAGCTCGAGATTTCTATCATGTGATAACTGACGAGGGCACAGCCCGAGTCAACTATCATGCATAGAAATCAAGAGCGAATAATCTTATTGTTTTAGTATAAATCTACTATTTGTTCAAAACTTCATCTAAATCCTCTTCACAGACACTTCGAAAATGCCAAGAAGGGGTTGTTGTTTTGTTAAAAAGCGCACACTGCTACGCTACTCACTGATCTAACACAGAATAGATAGTGGGTAGCATAGCCAATCAGAGAACGGCATTCGTGATAGAATGCTAGTAGATTTATACTAAAACTCAATAGAAACACAGTACATGTTTTCTATTTCTTAAATGTTGATTTTGCCGTCGTGAACCTTGTACATGTGCTATGCAATTTGAAACTGGAATTTATGTAGAGACTTTTCAAAACCAAACATGGAGGTTTGTACATGTCTAGGAGATGCGACCATGGAGGTTGCATGTATTGTATGAATGCCCCTAGTCAAATGTTTTCAAATCGCAATTTTGAAAGGTCTTTACATTGCTGTTCGCATTTCAACACGTGTCGTGTCAGTCAATGTCATGTTGATAACATGACATTGACTGATCAGCCTCAATGCTACTGTTTCAGCATGTCACAAGATGGAATTCTACCCTCACAGGGTTTCAGATAGATCGTTCGTAGAAGCGTTGAGATGTATGTTAATAAAAGGTCCGGTATTGTTAAATTTCCCCTGTCTTTGGATCAACTTGTGAAAATGGCTACCGGCGTACCGACCTGTTGCTTTGCAGCCAAACGGCTCTTTTTGGTGGGATCCATGGCATCGACCAACCATTTTACACCATAATACGTCACAGCACCAAGAATGACAGCCTGTAGTACCGTAGCTATGTACTTAGCTCTATTATCTGGCATACTAAACTAAAAAAAAATTGTGAAACAACAATAATCTGAAAACGCTTTCGTTAGCAATATTCCGTGGCGAGACAAATTGAGCCCATTAATGCGGGTTCTTTCGAAAGAGCATGCGCGTACTCAAGTCTATTTTTGCGCAGAGCATTATGGTATCGTCCTCTTAGCACTTTCTGCGAAGCCTTCAGGTTCGTGAAGATAGATTTGTGAGAGAATCTCGTCAATCTTGTCCTTAAATCCGAACAATCCACTTCTTAAAAGTCATCAAATAAATACACTGTGATTCAAAAACATGACTGTGTCATTATTTTTCTTTATTTGGTTATAGTATGGCTCCTAGGAAGGGTCAAAAACAACCAGGTGGAGAACAGAACATTTCTCTTGGTCCTCAGGTAAAGTTGCGTTGTAAATTAGTGAGAAGGAAATTTAAGAACCCTCTTTGCTGAGGTTAGACTTTAGTTGACTGTTTTCAATTTCAGGCCAGTGAAGGTGAGGATGTTTTCGCTGTTGCCCATATCTTCGCTTCGTTCAACGACACATTCGTCCATATCACTGATCTGTCTGGAAAGTGAGTCAAGTTGCTTATTTCTTTTCTCCATAATCTAATTGTTTTACCATTCATGAAGCCTGTGTTTATTATTATACAAGTTGTAGAAAGTTCCATGAAAATATTCCATGAAAAATGAATATTTATGTATTTTCTTTTTTAAAAAAATCCATTGTCCAGTTGTACTATACACTACACATTTTAGTAGTTCCTACACATGCACTACACACGGGACGACATGGAATATTGTCCTGTAATTGTTCACTAGATAGATGGGTCTTTTATTTAAGAACCTGCTAGTTATGTTCTAAGCTCATATCTACCTAAGCTGCGTTGGGGAGAACTGCTGAACAAACCAAACAGTTTCTAGTTTCTAATGAAACTGTTATCCTGGGATTGTGGGGAAATGAAAGTCTTACAGTACCGCTCAAAAGTAAGTTACCACCTCTTGTCTCGTTTCTTGCGAGACAAGTCTCGCTTCTCTCGAGATGTTTCTCGTTTCTCGCGAGACGTGTCTCGTTTCTCTCGAGAATCACTGAAGTGTTTAGTATGGCATACAGTACCGGTCAAAGGGATTGCAGCACCTACACACGTGTAAAATGCGTGTAGTCTGCGTGTAGTATTCGTGGACAGTGCGTGGATGGTGTGTACGTGCAGTGTTCCAGTTAATTTTTTTTGGCAAGGGGTCATGTAATTTTTCAGGGGGGTTACACAAAGTAGGTCTACCTGGCTAACCACAGCTGCAGCACGACGCAAAGCTAAAGGGGTGGGTTGGGGGTGGGGGGTTGTTGGGCAAACAGATAAAGGATCTACTTTCGGGATTTTAAAAATGTCTGACATTTGATACCTCAGAATGCTATCCGTTAACGTGATCTCTCTTTCCTCTCTAACATTACCTGAATATAACAGTAGTGATCACTGTGACCATTCCATCATTCAACAATATTATTTTTGCAAAAGAGAAGAAATATTTCGCTTATATTATATGACGATTTTCCTTTTTCAGTTCATGTGAAAAGAACGTATTTATATTGGATCGGTTAGCAGCAGAAACGAAAATCACCTCAACATGACATGTGCAGAATGAATGAATGAATGAATGAACTCTGGTCATTTTGAAGTGAAATAAGTACAACTGTAAAAGCATTGTTACAGAACAAACTTACCCTTGTCTACGCCATCCTTGGATCGTTTTTTGCCAGACACTGAACAAAGATTGCTGTTTTGTTCGCTTCATTTTGAGGAAAATGATTTCCTGGTGCCGGGTTTGCGTGTTTGGGCCGTCACATCGGCCGTCACGGCTTGATTCTCACGTGAAAATATATTTGGACTTGACATTCCCGCCAAGGCGCGTAAGCGGTAATGCGAGCAGGAGACTTNTCGAAATAAAAGGAATGCACAAGGCAAACTTATGAGATTTTGGTTCAGAAAATGCGAGAATCTCCAGTTCTAAGACTGATAAATTCAGTTTTTCACAAACTGGCCTGTATTTGCAGACTTCGCAGGCTACAAAGTTGGCAAAGAAATTGTTGACTTAGTGATCGTGATCACAGTTTACTAACAACATGTAGATTGGGTGGCCAAACTCTACATGTTATTTCATGAACACTACATTTTGACTAACAACTGTACTAATCACATTTAGGAGGTAGTTTGGTGATAGAGAATAGAAATCTTACACTGTGTTATTTGAGTTTAACCCCAACCCTTTTTATAAAGTGCCTTTCAGTGATAAGAAACCCTCTCTGAGGTTGTTGTTTTGTTAGAAGCTAGCAACCTGCTATTGCTGTTGTGTAATCAAGATGACCATTAGCTTAGAAATTTGAAAGTGACCTAAAACCTAAGAGGACAATCTTAAAATTATGACTTACTCTAAAAAGACATGATAGTCCTGGCTCTGTCAATATTTATTTGGAACTGTTTTTTTTTTTTGTTATTAGTGCCTTTATTCAAGTCAGTATCTCGTAGATTTCAATTACACTTGCCTGATGTGTGTATTTTATTTTCAACAGGGAAACAGTTGTAAGAGTAACTGGAGGGATGAAAGTTAAAGCTGATCGTGATGAGGTAGGATATCAATATAATTGTCTCCTGCAAAATGTGGAAGTATTTTCCACATATAAACAACTAGCTGGACCAAAATTCACCTGTGCACTATAATCTCTCCCAGAGGCAAGCAGTGATGTCTTTAATATACGCTGAATTGCAGTGATAAGAAACACTCTCTGAGCTTGCTTTGGGAAACCCAATTATTCATGTCATGGCTGTTTTGCATTTTTGGTATTTCAAGGCTGCCAAATATCCCATCTATAATATTCTTTCTTTTATCCTATTGAACTTAATTTGGGTGTTCAACAGGACTACATGCTGTCCAGTTTGGAAATAATTTGATGAAACAAATTCAGAAAACTGACAAAATTGGACAAGTCAGTAGTCTTTGTCAAGATTTTCCCAGTCACTGTGATGTAATACAGTTCATTCATGGGTTTTACTCCACAGAAATAAGTCTTGTCCTCCTCAGTATAATGTCATAAATTCAACCACTAACAGGCCTTGATTTCTGGGCACAATATTTGGGTGGTCATATTGGTGCATTATTAAATAAGAGAATCACTCTGACTTTTCTCTGTCGCAAAAGAAAGTTTTAAAATCAACAAGGTAGTCATTAGGCAGGTTTCTAGTCAGCATTCCAATACAATCAAGCTTTGTTAATGTTTTGATTCATATCAAGGTGACCGTATCAGTTACAGATGGATATTGACAGTTTATACTTCATTCTTTCCAAGGCCTCCCCGTATGCTGCAATGTTGGCTGCTCAAGATGTGGCTGTTAGGTGCAAAGAGATTGGTATCACTGCCTTGCACATCAAGCTGAGAGCAACTGGAGGAAATAGGTTTGTCAATGTTTGTCAGTTTATTTCACTGTTCCAAATTACCTTGTTCAAATGATCATCATTGATAGTGGTCCAGTGCTCAAAATTAAAAGAAAACCATGTTGTCCCTATTTCAAAAGCCGGGCAACCAAACCCATTAATTTGGTTGCCCTGATGAATTCTTGGTTGCCCATTAGAAAAAGCTACACATTTAAGAGCACTACTAAAAAAGACATCTATTTTTGTCTCCTCAGTAAAGAAATAAAGAATTTGAGAACAATAATGGTAACGATCCTGCCTTTATTTACACGCCGTGTAGAATCACGTGGCATTCAAGCTTGAATTAATCCCATAGTTCTTAGTGTGAGCCAATGGTTTTCACAGGAGTCTGGGTTTAAGTTGTGGCATATTCAAAATGACGTCTTTGATTTTGATCGCCACCAGACATGAAACTATGTGTTTCTCTTACATTTTTGTACCTGACAATGTTTTATACAATTTACAGATATCCAAAACACAGGAAAATGCTTCGCTGAGGCAAATTAATTATTATTAACTTCACACTATCGGGCATTGACAATACAAAACCGTCACGTAAGTCGGGCACTGTTAATGATGAATTTATTTTCTGTTTTTGGCTGGGTTGTCCATTGTTTTTTTCCTTGGGCAACCAGCCTCTTGGTTTTACCAAACATTGGTTGCCCGGTCAACTTTTTGGTCATCTTGGACAGCTGGACAACCGCTGATTTCGAGCACTGATAGTCTGTCATGAGAAAACCGTATGTTCGGCAATTTTTGGATTATACTCCTGTAAAGATTGTGTGTTTTGATTTTAGAACTAAGACCCCTGGCCCTGGTGCTCAGTCTGCCCTCAGAGCTCTTGCCCGATCAGGGATGAAGATTGGACGCATTGGTAAGACAAATTTTGTATTTGAGTGAAAGATATTCAGTTCACTCCTAAGTCAAGAAATAGCCTGACTGTGCCACAGCTGAGTTTAGTCTATTTTATTAAATGTTACCAAATATGCTCGCTATGAAACTAAATTTGGCAAAGAAATTCTCATGCTCATGCCATCATTATGTCAAAAGCTCATGCTAGTTCTGTGTTACTTTTATATTTCACTCAATTTGGTGGCCATTTTGTTATTTATATCTAAAATTTGGCTAAGATCCGTGACATAGTTCCTTCTACACTGGTCACGTACATGTAGTGCTGCACAGCCCTGTATAGTAACCTGAAGAGGATGCGTTGAACTTTCACCTGCCAGTGACAACCAGTAGATTTCTGTAAAAGTACATTGACATCGTCTGCAATTGTTTTTTTTTGGGGAGGGGTTATTGTCATTTTTTCTGCTGAGGCAAAGAAGCCTGCAAAGAAAGATATGTTTGTTTCATCATGTACCTTTCCCAAATACTGCATCTAGTTTATAAACAAGTTGTTTACTTTGATCATGAAAATGTAAATTCTCATGCTTGTACTATCATTATGTCAAAAGTTCGTGCTAGTTCTGTGTTTCTATTGCGTTTTAGTATAAATCTACTAGTGTTCTATCACAATTGCTATTCTCCGATTGGCTACACTACTCACTATCTATTCTGTGATAGATAGTAAGTAGCATAGCAGTGTGCCCTTGTTAACAGAATGATGGCCACTTCTTGGCGTTTTCAGTGTCTGTGAAGAGGAATTAGATAAAGTTTTGAACGACTAGTAGATTTATACCAAAACAATTAGATTATTCGCTCTCAATTTCTATGCGTGAAAGTTGACTCGGGCTCTGCTCTCATCAACTATCGCATGATAGAAATCTTGAGCTCATAATCTAATTGCTTATTAAAAGAATTCTACTAGTATACTAATGCAAATGCTGCAATCTGATTGGCTGAGCTACTCGTATGCTATCAGCCATTAGAATGCAGTAGCTGTCGGTCGTCCACAAAATGCGACGTTTTTATCGTTTTTCCGAAGTTTTGGAAGAAAGTTTACATGTAAATGGATAATTATACCCCTGAGAAGACAAAGAGAATTACATAAACGGGTTCTTGACTTTAAAAACTTGAAATTATTGAAAAACTGGTGCGTGCACGTAAACAACTGCAAATTTACCAAGGACAATTCAATACGTGCGATTCTGTTAAAGCGTAAAGTTCAATAATGCGTCGAAAAATATTTGGAAACCATTATTTGCGTTAATTTAAGTTAGAATTCTACTAAAACAATTAGATTATTCGCTCTCGATTTCTATGAGGCAATAGTTGATTCGGCCTTCTGCCTCATCAACTATCACCTCATAGAAATCTCGAGCTCATAATGTAATTGTTAAATAGAAATGCGATTTTAAACCAATCATTACACGTATTTTCTTTGGGCTATTTTCTAAGACTCTACAGAAAAGTCAGATATTTTTTTTCTCCTGTCTTTGGTTATTGTAAGTTGAACATGATTTGGTTAATAGTAACAGGTTAACTGACTTAATGTCTTTTTGAATTTTGCTAACAGAGGATGTTACTCCAATACCATCAGACAGTACAAGAAGGAAGGGTGGTCGTCGTGGCCGACGTCTGTAAATTTTGTACTCGTAAAAACCAGAAATGCAATAAAAAATTTACCGTCAACATGGAGTGTTTCTGCAACCTCGTTCCAAGGGTCTCTCATCTAACCACCCCCCTGTTCTTGCAAAAATCTCTTTTCATATATAAAAAAATTAAATGTTGATTGGTTATGTTGGTCAATAAGCTTAGCTACAACTATTAACTTGAATGAAACAAATATACGCAATAAACATAATAGGCTTAAAAATCCCAGCTGGTGGTGGGCAAACCAGTTAGCTATTTACAAGCATGACTGAGAGTTGCACAAGAGTCTACCGAGAAACAACTCCAGCTTAGAGTGTGAACCCATGCCCTCCAGATTTATATCCAGCACCCTAATCATTCAGGCGTACTTTTTGTTTCTTGATATGAACCACACTACAAAGCAAGCTCCATTCACCATACTTGGTCTGCCTTCCAAAGTCTCTGTTTACAGTATGCCCTTTGCAGCTAAGCCATCACGTGACCTATTTTTCATAAAACTATGGGCTATAACTTAACGAACGCCAGAAATGGACAAAGCATGTCGAAAATATCAAAATGGCCAAGTTTGAGGCCCCCATAATTAAAGAATGAGATTTTGACAGTCTGAATTTTTAAAAGAATAAAAACATTTGTATGGAAAAAGTTGTGGGAGAGCAAAGCCTTGCTCTCCAGCAACATCTTCCATACAAATCCTCTAAGTTTTCCGAAAATTCAAGCGGTTGGTAAACTTACTCTTTAACGCCTGGGGCCTCAAACTTGGCCATTTTGGTATTTTCGATGCGCTCTTTCCATTTCTGGCATTCTTCAAGTTATACCCCATAATATAAAAATTTTCTTGGAAAAATTTGGTCACGTGACCCCAGCTGTAAAGGGCCTATTTGTCTCTTCTTTTTTATTGTGTCGTATGGTGTACCCTTGTGACTCTCCTCTCCTCTCTCTCAGTTTTCTTCCCACAGTGTATAATAAAGGGCTCTTTAACTGTATGAGTTTCCATTTCCAAATACCCTGTTTAGTCTCGTTGCCAACTTTTCTCCAGGACGCAAAGCATCTAGTAACTTATCCCGAACGAAATAAATCATTGCCGTTATCGGCAGGCGTCTTGAAATGAAGAATTTCAACACTTAATTTCAAACTATTTCATTGTTTTCTAAAGGAAAACAAATGCTCCGCAAGATGACCGCTCGAAAACTCTGTCTTATTAACCGACAAAGGTTTGATAACGCTAAGAAATGCCCCTTTAAGAATATTTACCCAGATAACAGTGGCGGATCCAAACCCTGAGTTAAGGGGGGGGGGGGGGGGGG